AAGATACACACACACACACACACACACACACACACACACACACACACACACACACACACACACACACACACACAACTATATAAATTACCTTCACCAAGAGGAAAGTTGCGTGGAATGCGCTGCAGAGGAGTGGAAAGGGGACGTTCGAAAAGGGAGGGCGGCGCTCGCATTAAAGAGAATGCGCGTCTCATTAAGTGTAATTAGGTAATTTCGCTCTGTTTGTAATATCGAGGATATTCGGCCATCCTATCGAAGATTCATTCCAATCTACTTGCTACTCCTTAATGGATTTTTTAATGGATTCTGCTTCGCATTTGTTTTGTCTCTCTGACAAAAAATAATTTGACCGCATCATCATACAGAGAGTTTCATTAAAGATTCAGAGAGAACAAATTTGAAGTTGACTTCTAGTAGCATCAATATTTTACGAAAGATTATTCTGAGCGTTGTAGTTTCAAACGTTGATGCGAGTTGCCTTAATCAGGCAAGGTGTATTTTACAGGCGTCAATGTAGTACCGTCGACGATCAGAGATTTGTAAATCTGAGGGCCTATTATCGAACGACAGGGGTTCATGAATCTTCCTGCTTGCGAACTTGCGGCAAGACCGTCCATTATAAATTCGAGTTGTACTATTCAGGAATACAGTGGACAGCGTTTCGCTAAGTCAAATAAAACTCCGCGATCGTTTTTCATCGACCGTTATGCATACTCGCGCGCGTGGTAAAGTTTACATAATGGCATCACGCGCATATTACACGTGAATATTTTATTATTCTTTTCAGGAGAAGCCATTCACCTTGCCAGGGACTTCGGCTACGTTTGCGAAACCGAATTCCCCGCGAAGCAAGTCGCCGAGTACCTCAGTCGGCAGCATTGCGAACCGCAAGACTCCTACAGGAGGAAAGAACTTCTTCATGCCACCAAGTAAGAGCGAGAGCAACATGGGCAACGTTATTGCGGCAATTCGACGATTTGCTGCGCGCGATGATCGATCGTTTATTAAATTATTACACAAATTGTCTCGTTAAATATTAATAATTTATTTACTTAATAAATAAATGATGAAGTATCGACCAAGAAGGTATTCCCATGGCATCCGTTAGGACGAGAGCGACTGCAATTCCTATAACTTTGCTGTTTCCAGACAAATCACCAAAGAGCTGATGGATCTTCTGAACCAGGACAGATCGCCGCTCTGCAATACGCGGCCGCAACACATTCTCGATCCCAGTATACAGAGACATCTCACCCATTTTTCTCTCATATCACACGGATTCGGAAGTCCTGCGATTGTAGCCGCTTTGACGGCTATACAGGTAATAAGATAAGACAAAAGCTGTTTGTTTTTTTTTTTTTCTCTGTACTATTGCTCTTTCCTTTATTTCATCTCTTCTCATTTCAAGCGTCCATAGACGCGGTGGGAGAGGAAAATTGAGGAAAATCTCTTCCCCAAAGTGTGTCTTATCTATAAAAAAAAATATATAACCAATTTAAAGCCTCTGTATTTGCCGTTGCAGAAGTTCCTAAGCGAGTCTTTGAATCATCTAGAGAAGATGTATCCCGGGAACGGCAGCGGCGTGACGAGCAGTCAACAGTCGAATCTCGACACGAATAAGAGCAAGGACGGCACGCTGATGAACGACATGAAGAAGTGACGCACGGAAGACCCGCCTACCTCGAACGTGGTCACGTCTATCAGGCACTCCTGGCCGTACAATTGAGCTTCCGTGCGTTCATCGCTCTTCCGGAAAGCTCGCAGTGAACCACTAGGAAACGCGTACACCCGGATATACGTCGGATACACGCTGTTGGCACTCGCGTGTGACGTGCCGCGTGCCCATCGTACGCCGAGGTTGGCTGGTCGTAAGCTTCCGTTAGGCAATTTGAACTGTGCGTGATACGTGCGAAAATGTGCAATCAGGGATAGTCGACGTAAACGAGAGAGAAAGAGAAATTCTCGTAAATTTCGTAAGCGGAGCCCCTGGGAAGTCGAGTACCGAGGGGCTCGATTGTTTGTCGCTGGTCGCCTTTGGTACAGATTCCATTCGTTTTTGTATATTATCGTGAAAAGGTGTCTAAGAATGTCTCATAGACACCTGCCTACGATAAGTTTTCAAGATCTTCCTTTGTCAGCTCGCGAGGCTGCGCGAAAATATCGTTGTCGATACGATCTTATGAAAAAATGGAGGAAACGTTTTTGTAAGCAATGAATGTAATTTATTTCTCCTAAATATGTAACATGTTAGAACAAAATAAGTTAGATTCATGCATCTTACGGACGTCCAATAGATATTCTAAAAAATATATATATATATACGTCCTATAAAATGTATTTAATGAATTTTTATAAATGTTTTTGTGATTTTCAATTTCTTTCCTTAATTAAAGATCACTGTGCGTTATCAAAGTTTTAATATAATTTTCGTTAATCTTCTTATAACACAAATATGAAAAAAGTAAGCAACTATGTTAGTAAGTATTACAAAATATGAAAAATGAAAATGTCTGAGAATATCTATTGGATATTTGTGTTATATGGAAATATATTAAGGCTAGATGCCTGTAGATATCTTTTGCATCTAGGTTTCTTCCAAAAAAATTGTTCCAAAAATTTTAACTAGTTTAGATAAATTGTATCTAGTTATCTTATATGTGAAACAATCTTATATGCGAACATTAAAAACATATATTTATCATTTTTTAAAAGAAGAATTCCGGGATATCAAAACGATAAAAGATATGCAGCTAAATGCAATCATTTATGCAATTCATCCTTTATCCCACCGATGATTCACTACAAATGTAATAGATCGAGTTTCTTATACAGTTTGCGATTCGATAATACGTAAATCATATAAAACTTATCGTTACGTGCATTTTTAAACATGCAACCAATACAGTTTCCTGTACTGAGGTGAAAACTAATTAAATTTATTGAATGAATGACTAAATACAGAATCTCATATTTTAATTTGGCTTTTTTTTATATATATATATTTAATCATTCAAATTTTACTAAATGCCAGAATAATGCAAATAGAATTTTTTTCATTAGCATTAATTCGATTAAAGTAAGTTAAAAAAATATACTCAATATGGAAACTGTGTACGATAAGTAATGAGTGTGATAAAAATGCAACAGATATAAAAATGTAAGATGTAATTCCTATTCCCTCGCACTGTTATTTTTTTTTAATTTCACGCAAAAAATTGTGATTTGCAAGAAGAAATCGGATAAATATAATTTCGAAATATTTATTGATAGTCGAAAAATGCAAAAGTGCAATCATAATATTAATTCAATATATTATTAGTATTACAAGTATCTTCTAGAACTTGCAATCCGATCATCTATAATTTATGATTATTAGTGAGCAACCCGTGAAGAAGATAAAATTCAAAGATTATTTTACATTTACAAAAAGTAAAAATTATCGGAATTTACTTCTTCAGCTTTCATCTTTGATCTATATATCTTTGGTTTATGGTTTACAAAATAATTAAAGATTTCACGTTTTTTTCTTGTTAGAAAAGCTGTGCTTCCATCAATGAGACTTACCTGAATCAGCAATTCTTTGTGTATAAACGAAGCGATCGTGTATGAATATCAAAGTGCAACTTAGTCCTCAGTAACTCAGATGTATCAGTTAGTCATCTCTGCTGATATTAATCATAATGGGACGTCGTGCGATTATAGCCACAGCAAGAAAATTTCTGCCTTTCACAGGTGCACACTCGCGTGATAGTCAAAAACGACGCTAGGTCCAGGAAATCGCTCGAGAATTGAAATTCTTCCGACGAGACTCTTGAACATTTCACCGGAAATGAATAGTGTCGTTAAAAATTGTACAGCATATTATTTAAAAATTTTATTGTACTTATGTTATCTTACGGAGACCTAGAGATATTCATTATTTATACAAAATCAAAAGTAATAAATCCGCATCGCGTTCGATTCTCTTCCGAAGAGACTCTGCACTCGAAGCAATCTCCCAGGACCATTATTGTGCCAATGCGAAACTTGCCATGAAAAAGATGTGCCAATTATCGATATCGAGTTATTAACGTAAGCAACTGGCGACTTAGAAAACCGGACTCGGAGAAAAAGCGGTAACAGCGCAACGAAACAGAGAAAAAAAAAAAAAAAGAAACGAGCCCTTCGTCGGACACGTCGGGCGATTCATGTGCGACGCGTGAACATGCTCGTCGGCCGCATCTCGGACTCGCCAGTCACGAGAAATTGTATGAAGTACAATACCAGGTGAACCTGAGACATATCTAACTTTGTAATTAAATCTTAAGGCATATATATATATATATATAAATATATATATATATATATATATAATAT